CAGCAGGAAGTTCTCTCTCTAGTATTAAGCTGACCAAGGCTTGTGAACCTGTAAACAACAGAGAAGCAACACAATTTATAAGTGAATCAGCAGTTCAGCTAAACCTCAATGAACGAGAGTAGCAACTAAAAAGTATAAAATGAAAAATTGTTGCAAAATTTGTAAATAACTTTCTTTTTTTTCCAAGCAGTCCATATTATAGACAATGAAGCGCAAGCTCAAAATTTACATGATAATAAGAGTTTCCAAAAGCAATTCAAATTGCTGCCTTACAATAGAAATATGGAACATCCACTCTTTTTTAGGGAGGTGTGAGCAAAAGGAATATCCACTAATATGCATAAGGACTAGTTTGTTATGCTAAAAAGAAATTTGCCCAAGAACTTGCTGGTAGATTTAAATATAATTAGGTCCTGTTTTTTTATTTATAAAACAAATAATGAAATATGAGACACAATGCAGATGATAACACTTAGTGTGATAGACATATATAAATTAGGGAGAGAAAGCGTACAAAACATTTGGTATAGTTGCATATTATACAAGTGCAAGGTCTTTCCTCATCTTTTTCAGGTAAGCCAAAATGCTTTATACTAGCCAGTAGCCAGCCTTGGCTAATACATAGTAAATCATCAAACATGATTTACAACAATTGACTTATACAAACAAATCATCACAAATTTTCAACTAAAGAGAATTTCAATACATGGCCTAAAACTAATATGCTAGGACTTATAAATAATTGGTGTAGAGCTTGTATTTATAACAATATTATTAAAGAACAACGTCCTAAAAACTTAATTTGTTTGATAAGAGGCTCAACGAATGGTTTTATGTCAATACACATCCTCACATGCAAAAGCCCTATAGATTGCTACAAATAATACTCAAACCGTTTTTTGGTAATGTAGAAGGTGCAAGCCTGCGGTTAAGGTAGAGATTATGTGGTCTGGTGGAGGATTAAGCCTCCAACAACAACATCACACCTAAATCTTAAAGGCTTGGGCTAGTGCCTATTAAACTACAAGCTCACCTACTGTCATGAAGAACAAATAGCGACTGTCATAGAGGTGTTTGAACCATATAGACTCCCCTAAAAGCTTAAGCCATTGGGTAGGGGCCCATGAATGAATAGTTAAAAGTCTCTAATGCATAAAAACTATAGTTTTTCAATAAATTACCTTACTCTTATTGAAGTAGTGCAGTAAATTTCCAACAATAATGATACTGTTAAAACTTGTTGGCTCATTCTTGTGATCTGAATTAATTAAATATTAATGGAATGCATCATCTATACCCATTAGAAGAACACAAAAGAAATCATGAATGTGAAAAGTTCATAGGACTGAACTCCATCTGCACTATACAATGAGGAAGAGGAACAAGATTTTCTTTCAAAGGACTGACATGAAGCATCTCACATTCAAATTATGACTCTTTCAGTAGCATATGAAATATCTCATTCGAGCTGATAAACCATATAACAAGCAGGAAATGTTGTGATCAGAAACCCTGAATCATTCATCTAAATAAAACATACAACTAGAAAGTGCACAACATTTCTTATTGTCCAGCTTCTACTAATCTAGAAGAAACCCAGCCGCACGGGAATCCATAACAAACAAGCCAAGCGGATCATATTATACCTAGTCAGCACTAGGTCAACTCAGTCAATAGACAACAACTGAACATTGCAACCACAATTAGCTTGTCAATGTGAGCGATTGCAGGAAAAATTATCCAACATTAACATGTACCTATAATCAAACACAATGATCATAAGATCAAGATAACAAACCATAATCAGCCACTGTGACAGGACTTTTGTCTGATTTGGAGTGGACATCGGATTGCAGAAGAGCCTTCTGTACTTTCTGTATAAACCATTCAACGAATAACAAATCAGCATCCGTAAGCACTATTATTACAGCAGCATTTCTTCTTTTGATTTTTTAGGTATTAATCGTTGCAGCACTTGCGAGAAAGAAACAAAAAACAAAAATTATGAGAAAATAATAAACTATTTTAGAGCATCATATCAGGGCCAATGCAATTGCGCAAAATAGGTCTAAAACGAAAACGGTGAATGAGAATTGAAGGAGAAGGAGAGGGGTGCCTGGCAGAGACGAGCAGCGAGAGTGGCTGCTTTCTTTGCAGCGGCGAGTTCCTTCTCGTAAGGCATTGAAGAGAGGACTAGTGTCATTGGCGACGAAGAGAAGCACCTTCTTCCCTTTATTCTGATTCTGGCTTCGCAAAATCTCCAATCACTTCCTACAGTTATACTTCTTCCTCTCAACCAAAGTGTTGCTGTGTTCATTTCCCTTTTTCTCTCTCTTTCTCTCTCTCTCTCCCTCTCTTTTTTTTTTTTTTTTAATTACGGGACCTCGTATTATTAAATCTATATTAAATGTGGCCCTGCCCTTTCCATTCTTGGGCCGTGGCCCGATACGGAATCCTTTCACTTTTATTTCAGACTTGCAACAATTTGTAAAAGGAAAAAAATCTCTATCTTTGTACAATAAATAAATCATTAATTGTATTAAAGACTTAATAAATGATTTATTGTACCAGTACTAAATCATTACTACTTGTACCACAATTTTCACCAATAAATAAATAAATTAATAAACTACTCGTAAAAAAAATTCATACAAAAATTTATCTAATGTTGTTTAAAAAATTATACTTTATAAAATATATATATATATATAATATTATATCAGGTTAAAATCACATATAGTATGATCTAAGTTCATCCTTAGAATGTACCTAACCTTATTTCTTAAACTCAAAATTATGAAAAGGCCCTTCGGGAGAGGTTGGTGAATGAATTATGAATACTTGGAAAGTTTAAAATCAAATTAATGCCAGCAAAAAAATAAAATTGACTCAAAAAATCGAAAAACATATGAAAAACAAAAAAAAAAAGCAATTTTATTCAATTATTTATTTTCTTAAATTGTACGATTTGGTTTTCAGTTAAAAAATATGAAATCGGTCCAAATAAAACTGATGTGCCTTTTTTACTTTTTTTTAAATATAAAATTATACAATAATGACACAACATAATTTGTTCAAAAGGTATTTTATCAAATGTAAGTTATTGGGTTGAATTTAATGATGAAAAATTATGAATTAATTGTATCGTTTAAAAATAATGATTTTAAGTGGTAAACTATATATAAGGATAAAAATAATTAATACGATAATAAAAATTGTATTAAATAAATTTTTTAAAAATGATAAAATAAAAACTAATAATAAATAGAGCGACTAAAAATTGTATTTTTAATTTTATTTTCTTTGTATAGTCTTAAAATAACATAATATTACATATTTTTAACTGATTTTTGAAAACATGATTATACCATGTAAACAAGTTATATTTTATTTTTATAAAAAAAATTAGCATATTTATTTTTATTCTTAAATTGGTGTTAAATTATTATAAAATACATTCTTAGATAGGCTTATAGACCAAATAAGGTCAATGTTAGGCTTTTATGTGAATTCAGTTAAACCTTTATTATGATCAAATCAGGTATACATGTTAGGTTTTTATAAATCGTGGTAGATGTCTTTAAATTTGTGAGGGTAAAAAAAGTGTTTCAACAATAAGTATCGCAAGTAAAAGTACAAATGAGACATAAAGCGTCAAAATACTTAATTTATAGTAATTACAACAAAATAAATTTGACATCAGACACACAAAATTTAATTAATACATGTCACATCAATACAAAAGAGATAACGTTACAAAAAAATTAACAATGAAGACTAAAAAGATTTAAAAAACTTCAAATATAGAGACTAAAAATCTTTTTAATGCAAATTATAAAGAAGGAAAAATCATAAAATCTAGATTAGTAAAAAGATTTTTACTATAAAAATAAGATTCCAAATAATACCTTTCTTTCTTAAGATAATCTTTCAAAGAATTTCATCATTTTTAAATGACTATCTCCCGATTATCACCAAGTATAATAAAAACAACCATTTCTTTCTATCAAAATATTAGAATACAAGAGTTTTTTTACTTTACTTTTTCTTCTTTTTAGATGATTTTAGAATGGATTGGACGATCAACCATGACCGTCTCTAGGTGGTGTTCCCTTCTAGATGGTGACTCCTCTTTATAGGCGGGGAGACTATACTTATCACAAGTTTTTCTATCTATAGGAGATGACTTTACCCTTCAATAATGTCTCATCATTCATGAATTTTTGTTCACATCTATTCGTTCATGACTCTATTCATGGCTCTCCATTCATAACTTTTCATTCATTATTAGAAATTTTGAATTGATTTCCCAACAACCCCCCTCTCAATTAAGATTTCCAAATATTCATCTTCACAAAAAAAAATTTCTTTACATCATGCTTTCACTCCTCAAACTTTGGTGTGTTCCTTTACCAAACGTTTAATCTTAATATTCTTTCATGGTATTTAATGGTGACAGTAATTGTATTTGCACCTCTATTAGCTTTTAGGACACACCACTTGACTCTCTCATCAAGAAGACTTCTAACACTAAAATTATTGCCATGAACTACTAAGACATGTTGTTTGATCCCTCCATCTTGAGTTACATAGGCTAAAAAAGCTCCCTAACAAGGTGAGCTTTGATACCATTGTTGAAAATTAACGGATCTAATTCCTACCTCTATAACTTAAAATAGACACTATATAGAAGCAAAAAATAAGAACAATGAGTAGAAGAATAACACCCAAATTTTTTACATAAAAAGAATTCTCAATGTGAGTAAGGAAAAACTAGATCTAAACTAGTAAAAAGATTTTCACATCTATCGAATGATTATCTCTCAATTCTCACAAAGTGTGGTGAAAACAATTTTATTTCTTTCTTGAAAAGAGAAATACTATAACTTTTTTACTATACTTTTTTATTTCTCTCTCGAAGATTTTAAAACGGATTGGATGATCAACCATGACCCTCTATGGGAGTGACCCATTCTTTTAGGTGAGAGACTACTCTTATCACAAGTTTTCCTATTTAGGGGATAACATGACCTTTCATTCACGACTTTTCATTCATGATTTTTTATTCATAACTCTTCATTCATGATTTTTCATTTATAACTCTCCATTCATGAATTTTTGTTCATAATTAAAAATTTTATATCAATTTTACAATAATTTAGATTGAGAGAAGTAAGAAAGAAATATAAGAAAAAAGAAAGTAAATTTTTCTAATAAAAACATTTTTACCCTTAATAAATATAATAGGTTTTATGAAAAATAGATAAAAATAAGATTAAATTTGTATTTTGAATGAGTTGTCTCACATTTCTATTATTTAATTCATATTTTTTTCATTCAAATAGAGATTTTATTTTGAGGTGAGATTCACCCTTTTCTTTTCTCTCAAAAAAAAAAAAACTACTTTTATTAAGCAATTTATTTTTTTTCATTAGACCGACAATTTTTTATAAGATCTCTCCACCTCAATTTCTACAGCACCAAAAGAAAAAGTTCTTCATCTATGTTTTATTTCTCTTCTCTCCCTTCCCTCCTATTCCTACGGTGACAAACACAAAGAAGAAGGGACATATAGTTAAACACCGAAAATTTCCATTCCAAAGTGCAAAATTGGTGGCTTCAATAACCACCTTAGACGGTAATGAAAAAATAATTCTACAGATTAATGCACGTAGAATAACTCAAGCATATAAACACACGCACTACAAACATGACATAATTGAAAACTAAAACTCATTTATTTGTTCATAATTCAATGTCAATCATTAATAACGTGGCCATGTTTTTATTCGTTGAACGTGACGCTAGGAAAGAGGAGCTCTATGGGGGGCACCCTTTCTCCTGCTTCCAAGGGATAGGAAGAAGCCATTGGTCTTGTTGTTGCTGCTGGTAGCCTCAGTGGAAGTGGGGACAAATTGAGTATAGCAATCAACTCTTAGACCCTCGAACTGCAAAAATATGTAAAATCAGCAGATTCAATAATACTTGACAAGCTTTCACCTTCACATACCATGTGATCAACCTGCTATTACATACAATTATTTTTCTGTGGGGTACAAAACCTTATAATTTTCATTACATTTTAAAACACATCACCAAAATCAGCAAAATAAAATTATTTATTCTCCCTTGCCGTCACATTTGAAGTTCTCAAGAAAAGAAAATACACACTTGAAGTATTAAAAAATATAAAAGAACTATCAAAATTATAATAGAAATTAGTCATTAACAAATAATTTGTACCAATAATAATATAAATAAAAAAAATCTTAAAAGAGTGTTTTTCTTTGTACATAAATTTTTAAGTTGGATACACAAAATGCCTTGAAAACGACATGAATGAAAAGAATACTTTCTCAATTTCCTAATTGACATACATAGTAGTTATTTTTACTAAAATAAAAGAAGAAAGTACCTTTTACGTCACTATTTTTCTTATTGTACAGAGAGGTATTTTTTAGTTGATCAGCATGGTCATGTTACAACACAATACATTGTTTACACTAATAAGGGGAATTATAAAAGGAGGGTCAAAAAACTCTCTCACTCATATTATTTTTAACAGTTATACATTATTAAAAATAAATAAATGTCAAAATATATTTTAAAATAATTCAAAATCTTAACTATTCATTTATTTTAATAATAGATTTGACAGTACCTTAAAAAATAACCTTACACGAGTAAGGAGACTTTTATTTTATCTCACATCAAAATCAAAATTCAAAACAAAAAACAGATATCAATTGTGGACAAGATTTAAAAACATGGATCTTGACCAGTAGTTTGTTTGTTAGAGTTAATAGCCAAACAAGAGAAGTGAGTGAGAGAGAGAGAGAGAAAAACAGTGACATGAGACAAAAACCTTGCATGAGAGAGAACAGAAGTGAAAGGGCTCCTGAAGAATCCTGTCACAAGTGCAGCAAGCATTGGCAGTGCCTTTGCATGACCTTGACTGTGGCCTCTGATTTAAGAATATCACTTTGGCACCGTTAATGGTATATGGCTGTCACCGATCCAATTATCAATTACATTAATTATTATCAAAAATATATAGTGTTATTTTTGTCTAATTATATTACACAATCAACTTTTTTCATGTACTGTATTTTTTTTTGGGAGGATAAATAAAAGTTTTGGAATTTCTTGAAAAGAGTTACAATATTTGTCCGACCTGAATATTGGAACAATCGACGAGTTTTTCCAGATCACCCAATCGAACTACGTCATGGTAAACATACCTTCTCACCTGGCATCAAAAAATTTAATTATTGTGTTTCATTATTGGTCATTCATTCAAATGAGGTCAAAAGTAAACAGGTAAAAAACCAATCACCAGTGAGAGAGTCATTCTTGGATAAGAGTGTCATGGTTAGGGTGTATTGTATGATGAACATTCATTTTTATTATCTCATCCAAACAGCTTTAGCTTTCACACACTTTTGAGACTAAAAATTTTGTATGCAGATAAATTAAGTGTACATTTATCATTTGCAGTAAAAAAAAGAATGTACTTAGTGTAAGGGTGTGAGTCCTCTTCTTTGAAAACAGGCTTAATGTTTAATTTATATAAGAAAATTGCAAACTAAAAAACGTGACATGAACTAAGCTGACAAGTGAAATATTATGTATAAAAATAATGTTCATTAAGTATTATGATTTGAATTCTGTTAAGGCATTTTAATAGAATTTTATTAGGAAATCAAGATCTTTTAAAGGTAAAAGTCAGAGACTGAATTAAAAGAATTTAGATCTTTCACAATTCAAGTTGCTTAGTTATATATGCATTTTATTATAAACATTTTTTACTAAATCTTTTTCTAAGTGTATGTGGTTTAACTATTGTTATCCTCTTTTTCTCAGTTTGATCATGTAAAAATATTTTTTTTTATATGCTACAAAATACAGGATTTAAATTTAAGTTACCTATAAAATGAACAATAATTTTTTTAAAAGATATGAAAATAATAAAAAAAAATTCAACAACTAAAGTTAAAATTCATTCGGTTTATAGAGACATAAACATATTTAAATTTATAAATAATCTATTTTTTTTGTAATTTTACTCTTAAATCTGACAGCATTATGGTGATAAATAAAACATACTTAAAAAAAATTATAACATATAATCTACTCGAATACACAATTGCTTGAAAAGTATCATTTTCTATAACACATTTTACATATTATAACTAGATAAAAAAGTTTTCATCTCAATTGTCTCACTCTATTCTCCCTTTATCTTTATACTTAATTATGTATGCGGGAAAAATAGTAATTTAACAGAAGTTTTATTTTCCTGTACATTAATAAAGAATTAAAGACACACAACGTGAATCGGGAACAATTTGGTCAAACCTTTCACTTTCAATGAAAGGAACAGCAGAGAAACCTTTGCAGGGAAAAATGGATAAAAAAATAAAGGATCTTCCATTAATGGGAAAGAAACCAAAACCAAAAAGTGAAAATCAAAGAAAACACAGTGAACCCTTCTAGGAAACAATGTATAAATATATACATAAACATATATAAGTGAAAACAACAAATACAATGAGACAATATACTGGTGCTGAGTTCATTTAATGTGTTTGGATGAATTTTGGTGAAATAGTTTTTTGAAAGAAATTAATTTTGAAATGATATAATTTTATTATAAATATAACTAAACTATATATACGAAAAGAAAAAAAAAAAAAGAGAATAACTAATAAAAGAACAACCAACAGATCACAGTTAACTATGTGCACACATGCACAAATGTGTACATAAAAAAATTATTAGAAAATTAATTATTGACTGTATTTAATACATCAATATCCTATAATAATAAAAATAAGTTAGTAGTCAAACTCAAATATAAAATTTTGATTCAAATCAAAAGTTAGTTTTAACTATGAATCTATTTTAAACTCAAAACTATTCATCAAAATATAGAATCAAACATGCAAGAATTTATTTAAAATCACATTAAATAATTTCAACTAAATTTATCCTATGTGAAACTAAATATACATTTAATCAATCAACAAGAAGACAAGATCGACCTTCAATTTTGTAAAACAAAACTCAATTGTTTAAAAAGAAAATAAAATTCTATCTCCATGCATAGAGGAAATTCTATAACCATCCTAAAAGAGAGAACTACTGAAATAAGTTAAACCGAAAATTTCAGTTTGAAAACCCTAAAAAGAAAAAAGAAGAAAAAAAACATTCCTATTCTCTTTCATCCTATTCCAAGGAAAAGAAAATTTAATTCAAATCTGTTTCTAAGAACGTATCTAAACATGCTGAAAAACATTCTATAAAGAAAATTTAGAAAGAAATTCTCCAAAAGTTGCATGTCAGTGAAAACATAATCAAGAAGACCTAAAATAAGAATTTCAAAGAAACAGGTTAAGATCCAAGTCCAATTGAGAATTCACGAAAAGGAAAGAACCAACCCATGCAGTGCAAATCAACCCCACAAATTGAACAAGTCCATGAATTTGCAAATACACAATGACATGATCAGAGTGATGTGAGTAAATATGAAAATAAAGAAACTCAAAATCTTTGCAATTAAGTCTAAAAAAGAAGTGTTGTGAGAAAAGCTGAATTAAAGGTATAGACAAAGAAAGATTCAAGAAAAGGTAGAAAACCTTATATGTATGTGGGGTATGTATGTATAAATGAAAGTGTGAAGAGGATAATAGATAGATACCTGGAGAAGGGAATGGGAGGGGTGAGAAGGGAGGCAATGGGGGCAGATGCTAAGGCAACAGTGCAAGCAAAAGACGTTCTTCTCGTTCTTCCTGTGATTCTGGTGGATCCCACAACCACCAAAGAATGTCTCAGCCATAAGCTTCTCTAACCATGCAGGCTTCACATTCATGTCTCCTCTTGATGATGGCTCACTGCACCCGCTGCTCTTCATTGAGTTTTTCATCCAAAATCTCTCCCTCTTCTATCTCCTACTCTTAACACTACTCGGCAATTACCAATCCTTTCTAGTCATATGGATATATAATAAATTAATGTTAGTCTCTTTTAAACTCCATCACACATATATGTATATATAGAGAGAGAGTGTTAATCATATATACACTGTTAGTGTAAAGTTTTTTACATTGACAACCAATCATATCTTTTAAATTATTTTATTTTATTTTTTTCATTAAATAAGTAAATGACATGACACTATTAAAAGATATGATTGGTTGTCAAACTTTACACTAGTAGTGTATAAATGATTAACTTATATATATATATATATATATTTTATGAATAATTAAAAAATTATTTTATATCTTGATTTGACTTAATGAAACGAAGTATTAAATAATTTTCAAATTTTTTAAAAAGTTACAAATTTGATATATGTTTTAAGAACTTTAAATTCAACAGTTGAATTATTGAAATTTAATGTAGAATATAAGTTATCGGATAGAACAAGTCTAAGTATACTTACTCATGAAATAAACACATTTATCCTCATATATATATATAAGAGATATCTATTTACTTTAAGAATGTTTAATACCAAATTTCAATAATTCAATTATTAAATTAAAAACTCTTGATGAATAAATTAAGTTTTTAATTTAAAAAAAAATTAAACTATTTAATATTTTGTTTCATTAATTTAATTTGGTAAATAAACATAAAAACATTTTATAGTATTGTATGATTGTAGACTTGATTTATGCATTAAAGTTTTTTAATTTAATAATTTAATTTTTAAAATTTAATGTAAAGCATAAGTTATTGAATGAAATAAGTCTTTTAAAATTTACTTTTAAAATAAATAAACATTCCTATATATCCTTCTCATTACAAATCTTTAATCCATTAAAGTTGACTTAGTAGTTACGTTAGAATAAATGTATGTTAGTTTATGTTAAATTTTATTATTATCGTAGTAATATTTCTTACGTATAAAAAATATATCCTACAATTTTTCATGATGTATGTGTAGGTAAATCCATTTTTTTTAGTTAAAGTAAGTTGATGAACTTTTGAATGTATTTTAAGAAAATTGTAAATATAACTTGCTAATATATTTATTAAAAAAAAAGGAGTGCATAATAATTAAGAAACTTCAACAATTGTTAATTTACACTTGTTTATTTATTAATTGGAATATGTTGGTAAGTTATAATGTAACATGACTTAAAAAATGTTAGAAATATATATATTTTTTATTATTGACTGAAATTTATTAAAAACTATAAAATTATAAGCCTCACTTTATATAATAAATTTCACTCACAATGAATCTATTCAAATGATGTCTAACAAAATAATTGTAACTATAAAAATATATTAAAAGAATAGTGGTAAAAAAATTGTATAGCTAACACTCTTATGTGACTATATATATGGACAATTTGAATTTTTAAATAAACTCTTAATTAGTTGCATCAAGAAAATTAAGAGATGACAAATGTAACAAAAAAGGACAAAATTGGAGTCACAAAAAATTAAACAGGATATTTTTTTATTACATAATAGTCAAACTTGACTTTTGAGGTTTATAACATTTGGGCATTTACTCAATTAATCAACTAAATTAGACCTCTCGCTGATAAATAAGACATTTAATAATAGATAAATTAAATATATTTTTACATAATGAATTGAATCTACTGATTTCTAGCTAATTTTGAGTTTCTTTAGTATTAATTTGAGAATCTTTTCAATGGGATTGATTTAAAAAAAATATATTTTTAATTAAAATTTAATATTTTGCATGTTTGACTTTCCATCACATTTCATAATTATATATTGCAATTGTGTCTTTTAAAAAAAAAATATATAAGAAATAATAATTTTTTTCATATTTAGAAATCATGATTTATTAGAATCATAACAATAAGATATTTAGTTTATCATAATTGTTTATAAAAATATTTATAAATATTATTTAAAAATCAAATATTTTTATTGTATTAAATAAATAAATAAATAAAAATAACATGATGTTTTTTTATCACATTGACATTTTATTTTTTATCTTGGATATGTTCTCACCTCACTTATGAAAACAATTTCCTGAAAAATAATTAAAAAAATTCTGTGTAGGAAACGCTCACATATTTTTAATATAAAATGTTATATGTTTAATTAAACATGTGCCTTGATTTATAATTAGATTTTATATATATTTTAAAATAATAATATGATATGATTGATTTTTTTAAACATATTTAACACAAAATCTATTATCCCCATGTATGATAGGTCATGTTGTTAGTTTTTTTTTTTTTTTGGGAAAAGGTAACCTAAGTTTGACTGCTTTTTTTTCTTATTTCTTTTTTATATAAGCTAAGTTAACCTTTTTGACTAACATTGTTTTAAAAAATCTGAATTAGACTTATTTAGTAAATAAGCTTAATCTAACCTTGATTTAATATGAATTAAGTAATAAAGTTTTATTTAACAGTTTAATCGATCTATTCTCATTCATGTTTGTGTGAAGCTACAAATATCTTCTATGAAAGATAATTCCACTAAAATAGGACCACCCTATTCAAGCCTAACGTAGCTATTATCATTCTTACACACAATAGAACACATTTATCTTCTATTATATAGTCTTGTATACAAGACTTCGAAAACCAAGGTATATTGTACTATATTAGGTCAACATCAGTGGAATCAAAAAAGAGTTGAATGAAGTCTTTCACTTGATTGATATTATATGGAAAAATGTAGTTAATTATCTTCTTCTATAATAAATAGTTCTTTATATAATTAACTAATTACATAAATTTCTCTCGTATATGCATCCCTCCTCTCTTCCACTTTGATAACTTTATTGTACAATATAACAGTTGCTTATTTTTATATTGCTTACATTCGACTTGTTCCTAATGGTATTAGTTTATCATTAGTTACTCAAAATAAGAATTTAGGAGTATGTGAACAAATTACGTGTATTCATCACAATAATCAACATTGACTATTAATGTGACACTTTTATACGTACACACAACCTTTTAGCTTGACATAGTTCTACGTGATTATCGTATCTCTAACAAAATATGAATTGTACCTCGAATCAATCATGGTGGTCAAATTATATATATTGTTTTCTTCAATGCGTCAGAACTTCACATTATTGATGTCAAGGACCTTTCATTCTACAATTACTTTGCAGTCTATCATTCAAAATAATGGAGACAGCTTGTTAAAAGTTAAGACATTTCATTTGTAAAAGTTTTTATTTCAATTTATTCTTAAATCATAAAAGTTACATTTTATCTGATTCTCTTCTACTTAAATGAAAATGCCCTTTATTTATTATTATGTGAATGGATGAGAAAATAATAATTCTAAAAATATTCATTATTAATGACACGAAATATTTTTATTTAGTAACAGAAAATTTCTAAACACGTTTAAAAATAACTTTATTCTTAAACTTAAACAACAATGATTATGTGTAGAACGAATCTTTTCAAGTGAGATTTTCACTTGAACTTTTTCAAATGAAAATTTCTACCATCAAAGCTTCACTTTTTTTTTTTTTTTTGTTATTTAAAACTCTTATCTCTTATTTTTAATTAAGAGGTGAAAATTTACTAAAAAAATATTATATGAGAACATCCAAACCTTATTATAAAAAAGTAAGTGGTGTATTATGTTACATTGTTATTCAATCAAAAATTATAATTTATGATAAATAATTAATTTTTACAATAAATAAATAAATAATCATATCAACAATATCAGATTGATTAATAATATAAAATTATTTTATATTATTAAGTATGATCATCATTAAACTCAATGATTATTAAGTAGAAGTTGTTTCAATCTAGTACATAGTTTCCCTAACATGATTTTAGAAGAAAAAAAAAGTGTATAGTATTTATTTAGTAGTCAAATGTAAAATTGCATGGTATTTTCTGGTTTTTATTGTATTTTTTGTTATATTAAAATTGTATGATCTAGAGACATGAATAGTTGTGTACTGAGTCTGAGTTGTCTCTTATTAAAACTCTTCTCAGTTAGTCAGTTCCTAGGCTCCTTATATATGACCCAAAACGTCCCACATTCGTATGTATCTAATAATAATGGTACGCACCATGTTTGCTCTGTCCCTGCTCCATTTTTTCTATATATAAAAAAGTACACAATATCAAATGCTTCGACAGTGTCAACCATTTTTAATTCTTTAAATTCGTTGAAACACTAAAAAGAGCTGTATTTTATTTATTGAATGACTCAAAACGCCCAATTGCAGTGTTGCTGTCTACTAATTTTGGGCGGTGTGTCATTTTTCTTTAATTTCCAAATTCGTCATGACACTGCTGACATTTAGTGAAACCATACATGGCAGTGACTCCCATGGAAAACATTCTTTAAATTAATGCACAAGCTCATACTTATTATTAACATGCAACACCATTAATCAAGTTTTGTGATCTACAATAACAACATGACAAAAATCAAAATAGTTGTTCACAAAGAATCCGATGCTGAGGATATTTTGAGTGTGACACTGCTCTCTTTTGCTACGTCAATTTCTATTGTGTTTCCGTTGAACCATTCAAAATCTTGTTTGACTCAATTTTGCTTGGAACAAAGTGATTAACACATGTGGCAATATCTGACGTAAAACTTAGAATTTTTCTCTTTAACATAACCCTAAACATGATTAGTTGATAAAGTAAAAGAATATAAACTACGCACACAAACAAAACCCAAAGCCCAAATATGTATCACTAAGAAGAGCACAAAAGAAAATGAAAAATCAGAGAATTTAGGTATCAATTAATCTTGGACAGAGGGAAAGTGACCCTCGCTAAATTAGAGAAAAAATAATAATTTGCCACAATTAATATTACAAATTATCAATTTGAAATTAAGGAAATACCTTGGGATTGAACCACAAACACTTCACGGCCGAACTTAGTGCAGTGGTAAGGACTATGCTAACCCAGTGGTGGATACAAAACTTTAAGTTTATGGGAGCCTTTTAAAAAAAAGATAATTATAATCATATATTAAAAAAACTAA